GGAATAGTTATTTTTTTCAAAGATGGCATAAATTTCAAGGTTCAGAAGATTTTGAAAGATAGGGAAGATACATATTTATAGAAGGGGAATTTGTTAATAAAACACTAACTTTAGCATCTATTTATATTCCTAACCAGGGTCAGATCGGTTACCTATAAAAGTTATGAACAGAAAAAAAAGTAATAGAGATAACTTTATAATAGAAGGGGACTTCAATATTAGTGCATTAAAACCTCAGATTAAAATGCACAAGAGATTTCAAAACTTAATGCATAGTCTTGGACTCATAGATACATGGACAATTATGAACCCTGCAACAAAAGCACATACGTTTTATTCAGGTAGACATAAATCACATTCCTGGATAAACTATATATGGATATCTAAAACTTTTTCAATTTTTTTGCAACAAGTTAAAATTGTACCAATACTTAGATCACACTCCAGTCATTATTGTTCTCAAATTAGAAGAAATCATTCCATTTACTTATAATTGGCGTTTTAATCCTATAATACTGTATAATGTAGCAGCAAAGCAAAGACTAACTCAAACTTTGAGAAACTTTTTTCAAGAAAATCATACAAATGAAACATCAGTAAGAACAAGATGAGATGCTATGAAGGCAGTATTAAGAGGAATGTGTATAAACTAGATAAACATAATTTTAAAAATATCAGCACAAAAGGCAAGTAAGCTTTATTTAGAAATTAACAATTTATTAGCAAACTATAACAGAACTGGTTTAGATAGTATTTACAAAGATAATAAATAAAAGGAGAGATTTAGATGATTTGGAGACAGATAAAATCTCCTCTCAGCTTATTTTTACTAAGCAATGAATACGATAATAAAAATTCTAAAATACTGGCAAACAAATTGAAAAAAGTGAAGAAGAAAAAGTGTATTAGTGCAATTAAAAGTAGCAATGGTCAAATTGTGACCAAAATTGAAGGTTTAAGTGAACAATTCAAACTTTTTTTCAACAATTAAATTCCTCAAATAATCACCAGTAAAAATTAATCAATGTTTAAATAGATTAACATTCCCAGAATTTGCTCCAGAAGATATACAATTTATGGAATCTCCCTTTTCTATTTCAGAAATCACTGAAATCTTTAACACTATTCAAAATGGAAAATCTCCTGGCCCTGATGGATTTTCAGGGGAATTTTATAAAGAATTTAAAGAGATCTTAATACCTGAATTTCTATTTTTATGCAATACTTTGCACCAGGGGAAACCTTTACCAAGATCTTGGAAACAGTCTGAGATAATTTTGATCCTTAAATCGGGTAAACATTCCCAGGATTTGGCATTTTATAGGCCCATCTCACCTCTCAATACAGATTATAAGCTGTATACTAAACTGTTAGCTAACTGATTAAAAGTGATTATAGGTAAAATTATTCATATGGACCAATCTGACTTTATCCCAAACTGAAATGTATATACCTATACTAAACTGTTAGCTAACTGATTAAAAGTGATTATAGGTAAAATTATTCATATGGACCAATCTGACTTTATCCCAAACTGAAATGTATATACCCCTATCAGGAAATTATTAAATATTATACAAATTAGTAAAATAAATCTTCATTAGCCATATGTTCTTTAGATATATTTAAAGCCTTTGATTCTCTAGAAATACAATTTTTAAAACAAATATTAAATTTAAATTTGGGGCAGGCTTTTGTAAGATGATCGAACATATTTACAGACCGACTAAAGCTCAAATAAGGTATGATATGATTCAGATCCCATCATGATTTTAAGAGGTACCAAGCAGGGTTGTCTTTTATCACCTTTACTATTCAACCTAACTATAGAAGTGCTGGCAATAGCCCTTAGATCCAATAATCAGATTAACAGGATAAATATGGGAGATAAGACGTATCTTTTAAATTTATTTGCAGATATGATCTTGACTCTCTCAAATGCTGCTTATTCAGCTAGCTATATTAAGGAGGAGCTAGAGGAATTTGCAGAGGTGTCAAGACCATCAGTTAATTTTCATAAATCACATTTGGTTTTTTTTTCATAGAAAAACTCAAAAGGAAATTTTTACAGTTCTAGGGATTCCAATAGTATATAAATCTTTAAAATATTTAGGCATCACTGTTACTGAAAATATTAATAATTTTTTTACAAATATGTACCAACATGGAAAAAATTAAAGAAATGGAAAAATGGACTTCAAAACATTTCAGTATTTTAGGGTGAATTGCAGTGGTAAAAATGAAAATTCTTGCATGGCTTAACTTTTTATTTCAATGCTTCCCAGTGGTAATTCTAGAACAGGCTTTAAGATATTGGCAAAACAAAACAAAACAAAACTAGAAAGCAAAACAAAACTAGAAAGGATTTACAAATCCTTTTATGTAAAATCCTACATAAAGGATTTTATGTAGACCTCAGAAACAGGGAGGCTGGGGTATGTCCAGTTTGTTAATATATTATCAAACAGCACAGTTAGTATATATGATTCCATTTATTATGAAAGACTTCTGAACTATGGATTCAAATTGAAACTATGTTAGAGCCAGATATGTTTATAAATCAATGGTTTTTCACCCAAAATATTTTTCTAGAATAAAACAGATTGAAAATGTTTTTACGAAAACAGTGTTTCAAATTTGGAAGAGTAAGTACACAGTTTTGATAAAGGATACTTGCCCTTTAACTCCTCTAATAGCATATATCAGCATACTTCATTATTTAGAACAACCAAAAGGAACAATTTCAAAAATTTATAGGTTGTTATTGCAATCAGAAATAGGAGATCCACCATATGGTTTAAAGGAAGGTTGGTATACAGATCTTGGTAATCCCATACAGGAGATAAAGTGGCAGAAGTTATGGAAACTGGGTGGATTCACTTCAGCTTTAATGCAAGAACTGCAGTGGAAGATTCTACATCATTGGCACTTGACTCCTGTTAGATTGGCGCGTATCTATCAATCAATCAATCAATCAATCAATATATATCAAAATTATTCTTCCAAATGTTGGAGAGGTTGTCAAAAAAAAAAAAAGAATTGAATGCTCCCCAGAGCTAACTGCATTTATATATAGGACCAAACCATAAGCTTAAAAATAAAGAGTTTATTTAATTTTAGCAGCCAAAATAATAATTGCACAATGTAGGAAAACTTGAGATAATATAACAGTTGAGTTGTGGATTAACAAGGCTTCTTCAATTGCTACATTAGAAAAAAATCACAAAGATAAATTAATGAAACATCAGAGGCAGGAACCACAATTCTATCAAATCTGATTGGATTTTATGGTTTATCTCAATAGCAATAGACTGGCATATTTTATAGCAATCTGGTATATTTTATATATATGGCAAATTTTCATATGTACAGTACCTGTCTATTCTCATTGCAGTAGATCTCTTTTGTATTTTGTATAATTTTTCTTTTTTCTTTTTCTCTATATCTTGGATTTATGTTAATGTAGTTACCTGATATTGTTAAAATCTAATAAAAATATAATAATTGTTTAAAAAAAAGTTCTTTGGGAAAACCAGTTAAGGATTGTGGGTCTTTTCTGTCATTTATGTAATAATAAGTATAACCTAATCTTGCAAATCATACTGAATTCAGTAGCATGTTCAGCTATATATTTGAATTACATATAGTGTTCAGCTAAAGCAATAGCCCATAGGCCATTCATATATTGTACCTCATGGCTTAGATAAGTGTACACACACACCCACACCACAACCCCCTACATTACGTATACATTTCTAATCATTATTAGCTTCTCTGTATAACAAGTGGGAAAAGGCGGCTTCGGTGCTCCTTTGAAAGGCTCTTTACATGTTCAGCTGCTGATTTCTTTAATGTGGAGGGGAACTTCAAGATTTTAAATTTGGTGGACTATAAGTAAGGCTTAAATTTTCTTTTGTAGCATATATTCTGCCAAATTCCAATTCTGCAGCGGGAGTTAAATGGCAATCCTACCAAAAGACCTTGTTACATTTTCATCTAAAACTTATGGATGCACTAATTTACAATTATTCAAGTCCAATATGACTTTTCCTGCATTAGTCACTCAGGCCGTAGTCATCTCCTCTATAGACTATTGCAATGCGCTCTACATGGGGCTACCCTTGAAAAGTATCCGGAAGTTTCAGCTGGTTCAAAACGCAGCCACGCAGGCAATTTTAGGTGCTCCAACCTTTGCTACGTGAGCTGCATTGGGTCCCAGTTTGCTTCCAGGTCCAATTCAAGGTGTTGGTTATCACCT